TAGCTTAATAAGAGAGCGTCATCAGACAAAACTACAGTAACGGCTAGAAAGCCCAGAAATCAATCGAAATTCTAAGAATGTACTTCAATATAAGCGCGCCTCTTCAATTAGAACCCAAAATCATTCACACAATTCCATTCCATTGCCTTGGGTGGTCAACCCGCGTATATATACGAAATTTCAGGTCTCTAGCATCAATAGTGTCCAAAATATAGCAGAATTCGAAAAATTACTATATCTTCAGGTTTAGGTTCAGATTTGCCACGCCCCTAGTAGGCGTAGATATATCATTTTTTCACGCATCTTTATAGAATTAAAACATCACCTTACGTGCCAAATTCAGCATTCTAGGTTTATAACTTTAGGAGTTACAGTTTTGTCCGATTTGCCACGCCCCTAATGGGCGATTTGGCCCTGTCCGTATGTTTGAACGCGTCGATCTCAGAAGATTACATTATCGAAACCAGTAATAAATTTATATCTCCTACATTTTTAAAGCTAGAGTCTCCAAATATGTATTATATGTATACTTATATGCATTTTATACAATTTAGGTTTTTGTCAAAATTTACCCCCCTTCCCTAATTCACCCCCTCACCATGTAAAAGGCATATTTCAAATACTAGGGACTTGTGCTTTAGCAAATACATGCATATCTATGTTATATTCATAATTTGAAAGTTTCATGAAGATAGTCCATTCATAAGAAAAGTTAATAAACAATTAACTTCCCATAGTAAGCCAACACTGCAGCCAATGCGTATTTATGCGTGCGTGCGTATGCCTGTGTGTGTGCGTGTATGTGTGCATAAGCGAATAATTTTTGAAATATCAGTTGCTCGAAGGGTTCAGGGGATCTCGTAGTCGGGCAGTCTCTACTATAGCTTTCTTACTTGTTTTTTAATGTCCGTATATACAGCGCGGATATCGAGTTTATTACCAAAAATCCGCTATTTTTTTTATTATGAGAACTTAATTGTTAAATAACTTTTTTTGTGGACATACGATCTTCAGATCGTAATTATAGCCATAATATGCGTGCACTTGCCAAAGCACAAGTCTATAGTATTTGAAATACGCCTTTAACAAACATGGTGGTGAGGGGGTGGATTTAGGGGTGGGGGTAAATTTTAACAGCAACCGAAATTGTATAAAATGCATATCAATATACATTCAAAATTTGGAGACTGTAGCTCTAAAGATGAAGGATATATAATTTTATAACTGATTCTCGAGTCGGGATGAGTTATTGATTTTTAATGATAAACGCGATATCCGCGCTGGAAATACGGACATTTTAAAAAAATATGAAGTCTCTAGCTCTTAGTTCTTATATCTTCTGAGATAGGCGCGTTCATACATACGGACAGGGCTAAATCGACTTAATTTGTCGCCCTGATGAAGAATATTTGTACATATATACTTTATGGGGTCTGCCACGCCTACTTCTGCCTGTTACAAACATTTTAACAAAACCATTATACCCTGATTTCCCATTTTCAATGGGTTCAAGGTATAAAACGCACCTTTCCTAATAAACTATGATGTGACTTGCAGGACTTTTTGTTTTGCAAACAATTAATGGACACTATACATAATTAATATCATGTTTGATAATCAAAATCATGAATAGTTAATAGACCTCTCATAATTGTATATCTCGTATTAATATTAAAAGAAGAAAAAAATTTTAACCAAAATTTACCTGAACATTCGAAATAACTGGTCAATTTCCGAATCACCTTGAAATAGCGGCTTCCTAGTAGCCATTTCTGCAAATATACATCCAATGGACCAAATGTCAACGGGACATGAGTATCGTGGAGAGCCCAATAGTACCTCTGGAGCTCTATACCAAAGCGTAACAATTTCATGGGTGTAAATGCGTACAGGTATACCGAAAGATCTACCCAGTCCAAAATCAGCTACTTTAATTATGCCATTTCTGTCAATTAAGAGATTTTGCGGCTTTAAATCACGATGGAGAACCCGACGCCGATGACAAAACAATATAGCGTCCGTTATTTGATATAAATAACTTTTCACCAGTTGACTACTAAGGTGTTTCTCTGGAGGAAGTGAATCCATATACTTTTTAAGGTCCATTGATAGAAATTCAAATATCAAGTATATACGATTTTCTTCCATTAGTACGTCTTCCAAGCACACAATATTACGGTGCTTAAGTTCCTTAAGTAATGAAATTTCTCTGTAAAAAATTTAAATTCTTAGGAAATATTTGAAAAACACATTTTAGTTTACAGACCTTATTGCTGTAGATGGTACTCCTTCATCGTCAGACTCCAACCTAATCTTTTTCATGGCAACAATTTGACCAGTTAAACGGTTTCGGCCCTTATAAACAACACCATAGGTACCTTCACCTATTTTTTCAATTTTTTCAAAATCTTCCATTTTAACTCCGGTTAGTTTCAGAAAAATGCCGCGAATCGTTTGAGGTTGCCACCCTGGGGCAACTGAATTTTTGTTTGGTGAGAATAACTAATGAAACTTATCGAAAAAATTGACATTCACATTGAAACATTGGAAAAAGACATAATTATCGCTATGAATCTGCATAAGAATTGGTGTTTACACTAATAGTATTCTACCACTAACAAGCAGAGCTTGCAAATGAGAGTTGATCGTTTTTTCGTTTATGCTCTGCTTCGCATCATAACCAAAAGAATTGTGCAGACACGACTCGCTCTGAGCGTCACTCTTTGTTTTCTTTGGAATCTGTTTCGCTCAGACGCAATGCAATGACTCATTCGTGTGACGCTCTCACATGAGTGTCGCGTAAAGACTAACACGATCTTTCCTCACACAAAGACTCTCAGCAAAAAACACTTTGACTAAAAAGCTCAGCAGAAATTGTTTTTGCCTTCGTGTGCATGTAAATACACGCATACATACATACAAAAAGAACGCAACAATCGCGCGTGATTACCCATACAACCGCAACTGACAGTTTGCTTCATTTAACTCAAGCAAACGATCAGTGTTTGACTTGAGGAAACGAAAACAAAAATAACTGTCTCCCTCAGAGTGCGAGCGAGCTAAGCCAGACGCGACAAAAACAGTTTCTGTCTGAGTTGTTTTGACTGTGTCAGTGAAAGACACTTATTTGCAGACAACGAAAAAGTGTTAACAGTTATTTGCGAGCTATGCTAACAAGACATCAAGAGCAAAGTTTTATCATGGCCGAACATTTGCCTCAAATGTACCACTAGCTTCGTACTTGCTCGGTTCGATATTTGTTGGCTAGAACAATATAAGAAGATAAGAAGGCTGCGAGCGCTCGAATGAAATCGATTCATTCTATTATTATGTATGAGTATTTGCTATTCTTTATTGAATTCTCTCTGTCACTCTATATTTACGTAACTGCCCACCCAGTGGCAGAAATGGCTATTACTCATGGTTTACTTCTCGCCTGTGTGCATGAAAAAAACCGATTACAAGCTCTATTACAGAAAGTAATAGAAAGTAAATTGCCGGGTGCATAAAATAATTAAGTTTTGTAATCCAGAATGTAATGATGTGACGAAGTTTCTTTCGGTTCTCCATTACCCAAACGTATACTTTTTACATATTGCAATGCAGAAATTCCGCAGCCTTATGGAAACGCATCATAGAATTTCAAAATCGCTTATGGGTTAGTAATGCGCGTGCATTAAAACACAATATACTCTCAACCCATTTCCCACTATATAATATGGCTTGATGGTTGGTTACTAATGGAAATAAAGAAACGATTCAGCAACGTAGTATTTTTTTTTATTTAAATTTATATTAATTACAATTTATTATGTCATATTAGCTACATTCTTAAAATCTAAGTTCATTCAGTCTATACTTACATAACTACATATTTGTTTATCTATATACAATTATTTATTTATGTTTTGTGTTCAAATTTTTTTTTTAAATAGAATTTTTTATTTAAATTGATAAAAATTATAATTTATTATATTATATTAGCATTATTATTTGCATTCTTAAAATCTAAATTCACTCAGTCTATATTTACGTAACTTCATATTAATTTATTGGTTTTTTATTTTGTGGTCAAATTTTTGCTTCGCCAGCCGACCTTTCTGAACTCGAAAACAGTTCCTAATAGTTGGGATATTTTATATTATTGTGCTGTGTGGGTGTAATTTTCAAGGAAAGTATTTCGCAGTGAGTTATAAATATAAATAGGCTCTATATATCATCTTAATTTTATTTGTGTGTGTTTTTTGCTGAGAGGCTTTGTGTGAGGGAAAATCGTGTTAGTTTTACGCGACACTCATGTGAGAGCGTCACACGAATGAGTTATCGCATTGCGTCTGAGCGAAACAGATGCTAAAGAAAACAGAGAGTGACGCTCAGAGAGAGACGTGTCTGCACAATTTTTGTTGGTTATGATGCGAGAAAGAGAATAAACGAAAAAACGCTCAACTCTCATTTGCAAGCTCTGACTAAGACTCCATTTAAATTTTTTTAATATCTTTACTGGTTTAGAGGGAATGCGGCTTTCAAATTGTACTATACCGCTGCACGAAATAAGCTGTGAGCCACTGTATATACATGTATACATTTGATTGTGTGTACGCATGGGATGCGACGATCACAATTATGGGATATACCTTGTAGAAGCATTTGTAGGCCTGTATGCCTTTACAAGTGTGTGTGTGTGTGTTTGTTGAACATTGGCATATGCCTACTTCATCTTAGAATGGTGTGAACGTTAATATTTAGGTATTATAGGATCTACTGCGTTTTCTTTTTTGGCTCAGAGATATAGACGTTAGGTAATTTTTCATATTTTGTTCATAACACATAGGTGTTATCTGGTTAGTGATTAAATCCATAATAAAGATATAGTTCATTGAAAAAAATAAAAATAAAAATAAATAAAAAAAATAAATAATAATAATAATACTAATAATAATAATAATAATAATAATCGAAGTGTAGTATTATATATCGAAACTCATAGCATACAACACTGTGAATGACGCACGAAGAGAACAAAGATGGCGTTCCCGATGGTAGCACGAACAAAGCAAGCAGAATACTAAAATTAGAAATGTTTTGAATCTATAAAAAAAAGTAAACGTTGTTCAAACTGTAAATGCTTTAAATGTGCTTTTTGAAATGTTTTGCCATGTGTAAATTAAAAGAATATTACTCTTAGTAACCATTCGACAAAACTTAGTTTTGTGTAAATCATAACATACATACATACATATAAAGTTTGTGTGTTCGTGGTCAAAAGAAATACAATTCTGATCTACACCTTTTTATAATTACAAAAGTAAAATAGTTGTGAAAAAAGTGTAAAAAAATATTCAACACCAGCAACGAATTAAACTCTAAGAAAATATTTAAATTTTGTTCAAGTGAGTATCCAGTTATCCAGACATTTATTTTCCTTTACCTTAATACAAATATTAATTCAGTACGACAAAAATAGAAAAATTAATATATATTCAATACACAATACTAGCATAATTTTAAAAAAATGTAAAATAGGTATATATTTATAGTTATAAGATTTGATTGGAACTATTATATTGTTACCCTATATACTTCGATGCGTTTTTGGAGATTCTTACGTTTAAATGAACGTTAATTAGGGCAAGATTTCACACTTTTTTAATTATCAAAGCCACCCATAATAAAGCATCAGCAAAACGCACCCTCTTGTTTTTTGCTATGCTTTCAAACCGGCAAAATTACATTCTCTACGTTTTAAATCAACTACAAAGAATAAAAACAAAAAGTATTTTGATTGTGGTAAATAGCTAAACACATGTGTTTGCTATTATAACATTATAATTATATTATTAAAACTATTATAACAGAATGTTAAAATCCAATCTTTGATGTAATATACAATATTCGGTAAATCGAACCTTAAAATCCTAATACAAGAAAATGAGATAGTCAGTGATAGATACAAATTTATTTGTATTTATGAATGTGATGTGCTCAAGATTTCAAACATGAAGTCCTTAATTTCAAAGATACAAATATAATAATATTAGTATTATTTATTTAAGTCGAATTTGGTAAGCACCAAAAGAATCCTGATTTGAAAGCAATAGCATATTATATATATATTTCAAATATAATTGACTTTTCGATTCTTAAATAGGTCCAATTTAAAAAAAAATATATATATATATAAAAATTTGACCTTTTTTAGAGTCGTAAATTCAATTATATTGCCTGCTTTTAAATTCGAATATTCGATGTCTATTTATTTGTCTGTGTATCTTGGTTTAATATTGTTTTCTCAAATTAAATACATATATTTAATCGGAGCTTTGAAATAAAGTTTTCTATAGCCGCCTGTTGCGTTGCTGTTATACCCTGAACCCATTTAAAATATAAATTTAGAGTATAATTGTTTCTTGAATTTGTATGTTATTAATGTCAGCAAGAGACGTGACAGACTGCATATATCCATAATTCCTATTATATATAGCCAGATTTGTTTGTTCGTCTCTTGAAATTTGAGAAGTATATACATGTATACCACGTTATTTGATGGAAAAGAAAATACATAAAAATTTGGAAATGTAGTGGAGTCCGGTTATAGCGACACTCAAGGGAGCGACGATTTTATGTCGCTATACCCAGAGCCCAACCAAGACATCGAATTTAAGCGGATTCGTTATAACCGGATTTCACTGTATTGGATTTGTTCGCCCTAAAAATGTTTTTGTATTGCATTTTAGATCTATACGTTCTCAGCGATTTTCTGTAGCTTCGATAGCCTGTAATAGCATTGTCAGCTCATTGAAATAGCAAGGGAAGACTCCACCTACTAACACAAAACCATTTTTTGTGTGAATCAATAAATAATATAAAAAATAAAATAATTTCTTTATTGCCAAATAAGATTTATATTAAATTTCATAATGTGAATGCGAACACATTTGCGTGAATCAATAAATAATAAAAAAAAATATAATAATTTCTTTATTGCCAAATATGATTTATATTAAATTTCATAATGTGAATGCGAACACAAATCGTATTATATATCGCTGTTGATTGCTATTCCACTTTGAAGAAATTCACTAAAAATTTCCCATGTATGTACATCCCAATACAATAAAAATGCTCTAGTCGAGATTGCACAACTGCAAGATTCCCTGAATCCTTCGAAGAACCGTTATCTTCTGCATACACAAGAAACAAACGCTGGTTATTTTAACTCAGGCTTCAATAACTACTAGAGGCCTGCATGGGTATACTTGCTTGCGGTCGTCTTCTAAATATACTGATATTTGCAAGTGTTTGAGCATCGCAGGCATTGCTACAAATCGAAACGAATGGTACTCAAAGTCGCCAAGTATTCTGTTTTACTTTACTTCTTACGTTTTGAGCAGAGTAGACAAAACGAAACGAAAAGCGAGTAACGTCAAAAAAAATTGTACGGTACTTTTATTGCGCGTTGAGCACCGTTGCTGAGCAAAAATCAGGCTAGAATTGACGAATTGGCCATGATTAATGAAATTATGGTTTTAAATTGCAATTTGAAAAAATATATATATATAAATCAGAGCTCGCAAATGAAAGTTGATCATTTTTTCGTTTATGCTCTGCTTCGTATCATAACCGAAAAGCTTGTGCAGTCACGATCTCGCTCTGAGCGACACTCTTTATTTTCTTTAGAATCTGTTTCGGTCAGACGCATTGCAAAGACGCATTCGTGTGACGCTCTTAAATGAGTGTCGCGTAAAGACTAATATGATTCTCGCTCACACAAAGACTCTCAGCAAAAGACAGTTTGACTAAAAAACTCAACAGAAATTATCTTTGCCTTCGTGTGCATGTAAATACATGCATACATACATACAAAAAGAACACAAAAATCGCGTGTGATACCCATACATACGCAAAAGACAATTTGCTTCATTTAACTAAAGCAAACGATCAGTGTTTGACTTGAGCAAAATGAAAACAGAAATAACTGTCTTGCTCAGAGCCCGAGCGAGCTAAGCCAGACGCGACAAAAAGGTTTCTGTCTGAGTGTTTTTTATTGTGTGAGTGAAAGACACTTATTTGCAGTGTCAACATGTTCAGCATCCTGTAACAGGATTGTGCAATGGTAATTTTTTATGTGTAGCAGCTAGAGTCATAAAGATTTATAGGACATTGTGCTTTTTAAACATATTAATATGAATCAACTGAAATTCATTTGCAGTACGTTGCCTTTGTTACCATTGAAGGTCTGATGCCCTTGTTCAAATATCCTTGGATTTTAATAACTCTTATTATATTTCTTATTTTTATATCCTGAACCCTTTGAAAATGGGAAATCGGGGTAAAATGGTTTTGTTGAAATGTATGTAACAGGCAGAAGGAGGCGTGGCAGACCCAACAAAGAATATATATTCTTGATCAGGGCGACGAGCTGAGTTGATTTGGCCCTGTCTGTCTGTCCGTATGCTTGAACGCGTCGATTTCAGAAGATATATGAGCTAGAGATTTGAATTTTTTTTTAAATACAGCGCAGATGTCGAGTTTGCCTTTAAAATTGTATAAATCATCCCGTTAAGTTTTTTTATCGAATAAAAACATTCAAGTTCAGTCAGATGCCAGTATAGGTAATTGTGAATGATTTTTCATTTTTGTAAATTTCTCAAATATTCAATAGAATTTGTAGATCATATGCTGAACGTTTCATTAAATTCCCTTAAGTCAATCTACGTTAACAAATAATAAAATGTTTGGCCAATTACAAACGCGCGGGCAACAGCTACAACAGTTTTCGTATACGTATACGAATCACATCAGCAGTTAGTTTGAATTCGTTCTGCTAGATGGCGCTGCAGCAGTGAATCTATTTCAGTTTTGCTACCGCAGCTTCCTAAAGTGAGGTGGCGTAGTGAGTAGCGGCGTGACGCTCGATCGAGAAGTCTCGGGTAACCATAATAAATGGTCATTTTTATTAGTTAGAAAATGTGATTTTTTTTTTTTTAAATAGGAATAACGTCTCTATTTTTTCATGAAACTTAAAAATTCAACTTATTAAAAAATAGACACATCATAGAATAACAACAACAAAAAACAAGTTTAAAAAATAATAATTTTTAGCAAAATTTTGGCATACTTCATAAAAAACTCAAAATGTTGCTGGCCAGATTAATAGGTGTGCCCAGATAAATTAAAAAAAAAAATGAAAAATTCTGAAATATTTTAGAATATTTAGAATATATTTAGATAAGTATGGTTAATACCCTGTATATCCGCCCTTATTCGCAATGACTTTGCTAATTCTTTGGGGCATAGAGAATATTAACATTCTACACCTTTCCATAGGAATAGTGCTCCATTCCTCCTGAGTATTTTCCAATAATTGGGTGTAATTGAAGCAGGTAGTCTTGGAAATTCGCCTTTTCAGGTGTCCCCAAAGGTTCTCAATTGGTTTGAGATCTGGAGACTGACTTAGCCACTCATAAACTTCAATTATATTTTCATGACACCAATCCTTAACTACTGGGGAGTCCTATTTAGGATCGTTATCCTGTTGGAATTTCTATTTTAGAGGTATGTTGTCGTGGGCATATGGTAGCATAACACTACTCAATAGTTCCTTTTACAGGAATCTGTCCATTATGAAAATGGTCGATGGTGCAATACAAAACCATGCCATGAAAAGCAGTCCCAAACCATTATGCCGCCTCCTCCGTGCTTAACCGTCTTTTTTGTCGTCCTGATCAGGAGTATATATACTTTCTGGGGTCTGCGATGATTCCTTCTCCCTTGTACATACTTTTCACGAAACCATTATACCCAAATTTCCCATTTTCAATGGGTTCAGGGTATAACAATAGACTTATAGTTTATCTAAAATACTAACTGTAATAATTTTTTCCTTACAGGTTTTTTAATACATAAGAAAGAATGGCGACCAGCGATGATGAACCGATGCACTTGTATGAGGTGTTTCAAAATTGTTTCAACAAAATAGCAAATAAGCAACCCCCAGGAACAGTCGTATCTGAACGGGGAGGGGGCTATCACTCACCATATGGGAGTCTTGCTGTTGAAAACGGAATATACCCTAGTGATTTTAATTCTATTCACGATACCAACGGGAGCAATAATAGATTTGCCAACACAACGACGGTTGATCAGTATTTTGATTCCGGGGCAACTAGTAGCGCTGGATGGTACCAATCACAAATGCATAACAGTACTAATTATATGAGTCAAACGACATATCAGACCAACGCACCCATATCTTCACATTCAATGGAACACCAACAAGTTCATAATGCTGAGGGTTTAACAAATAGTACGAATGTTGGCATGCACATAGGAGGTGAAAGTGGTCAGATTGGTATGCACAGTCCGGCATCGACATCTCTTCCTCCAATGAGTTCGTTTCGTGGTGGCTCGGGTTCTTTACCAAATATTGGGCAGCCGACAGTTCTGTCGCCAGCAGTGTACAATTCGCCACAACACAATCAGACAGCAGTGCAACATACATCCTTGTCTTCTGCTGGGCAAATAACCCACCATTCCTTAAACCATACCCCGCTACCTCACGCACATTCCCATCATAATCAACCACAGCTTAGTCCTGCAATTCAAAATACTGATGGCTTTGGCGGAATAAATACGAAAGTATCTGGAGCTACTAATTCGGCGGCAGCGTCATTACGACAGCAGATATACATGTCAGCTGCAGCAGCTGACCAGAGTATAAGCAGTTTCAGTTCGAACCCATCAACACCTGTTAATTCACCCCCACCATTAACACAGTCTGGAGTTGGGGATGGGACAGTTTCTGGAAACGCCGTATGGAATCATAATGTTTTAAATGGTAGTGGCGCTTCAAATTATTCAAGCGATATTCTACCGGTAACTAGCTTACATACCATGGCATCTGTTTTTCAAGGCGCTCGAATGGAAGAGCGCTTGGATGATGCTCTCAATGTTCTTCGGAACCACTGCGAACCGGAACTGTTAACAAATGTTAATACTTTAAATTCAATAGACAATACAGAAACATTATCTTCCTTTGTGGCCAATTCACCTTCATCCCATCTAGTTGGCAGCGGTAGCTCTGCTGGGAATGGCGCACTAGTACCTAATTCGTCAAATACCCTGACGCATGAAGTTATTTCATTGAGCACGCCTGCAGCTGGTGCAAACGCGATTCAAACAATTGGAGCTTCTAGCTTAACAAATAATATAAAAATGGAACGAAGTGTCTCGGCATCAATATCGGCATCCTCAAAACCAACTAAAAAACGTAAAGAGCAATTAGGAATCAGTAATATCACACACACAGGTGTATCAACAACTTCTAGTATATCGAATCTGGAAATGTCCGACACAAAGCCTACGAGCTCTATTGAGTCTTCAAATGCAACACAGCTGCAGCAGCTGTCTCAAGGTACAAAAGGTTCAAAGAGACCTCGTAGATATTGTTCCTCAGCGGACGATGATGATGACGCGGAGCCAGCTGTCAAAGCTATTCGTGAAAAAGAACGGCGTCAGGCAAACAATGCTCGTGAACGCATTCGTATACGTGATATTAATGAGGCTTTGAAAGAATTGGGACGCATGTGTATGACACACCTAAAATCTGACAAACCTCAAACTAAGCTGGGTATTCTTAATATGGCCGTGGAAGTTATTATGACTTTAGAACAACAAGTTCGAGAACGAAACTTAAATCCGAAAGCTGCATGCTTGAAGCGTCGAGAGGAAGAAAAAGCGGAAGATGGACCCAAATTAAATTTACAACATCACATGATACAACAGCCATCTGTTAGCGGAAATACTTATCATCATAGCCAGCCTTCACAGCTTGTTGTTCCTCCACCTACGCAAACTATAAGCAACATGAGCTTACCAGCTAATCAGTCTAGTAATGTTTTACCACCACATTTACAGCAGCAGCAACAAATTGGACAACATCCACAATAGCATGATGTCAGCAATGATCTGAAAGCATCATCATCTTCCATTACAACTCAACTAATCCCAGATACTTCAAAGTACTCATCAGCCTTTGAGCTAGACCAACACCTGCTAAGCAATTTTTTTAGGCGCTATCATGCGACTCAAACCATTTCTGAGACAATGTCCCCTTTGCAACACCCGTAGTATGTTCTTTTGTCTATATTATTGGGTTTTAGGCACAAGCACCTATATCATTTAAAAAATTTTTTTTACCAATTGTATAGACTTCATTTTATCTTTATTGACGAGGTAAGATTATTTGTAGTTATTTGAATTGGATTGAATTATATATATCATATTAAATTTATATTAATATGTGCGATGTCACTGTAGCCAGCTCTTTAAACTTTCATTCATTCATATTGTATAAGGTCTATTTAGAATTAAAAAAAAAAAAAAATTAAATAAATAAATAAAAAAATAAAAATAAAAAAAATAAAAAATAAAAAAAATAAAAAAAAAAAATCTTACAAAAATCAAAAATTCTTACATAAAGAGTTTTTCTTGTATTCCCCATATTTATTTAAGAAAATTCAGATTAATTTCTCTTATTCGTCTTAATGCACGGGTGTAATTAAAAAAATGTATTTCTATAGAATATGATTTGATGTACACACACATATATATATGCATTACTATAAACTGAGTACTTACAATAAGTATTAGAATGAAATAATCGTTAAATAAAAATTAATGCTATTTGTTATTTTTACTTTAGATTTAAAAACAACTTTTTTAACGGTTATCATAAACGATAGATTAGGTTAACTTTAAATAAAGAATTAAAATGCTATTTTATGTGCAGCGTTCAAAAACTTATTGATATAGGCAACAATTTTGTACTTAAATCATCGTTAATAGGCTGCCAAAATTGATCAATGCTGCTTAGATAGTTGAAAGCAATTATGTTCTGCGACGATATTCAGAGCATTATTGACAGAAAATGTATAATATATTATGAGTATTTTATTTACCTAACAGTGTTTATAACTTTTGTGTTAATCGCTATGCTATTAAACGAAATAAGCTTCTTAACGGTAAAAAGCATTTTTATTTGAAATTTTTTTATTTAGTTGTTGTTTATTCATAAATAATTGCTCAAACATTTCAATTGTAAATTGTAAGAAAAAATAAATGTATGTATGTGTTTTTAGTAAACGATGGTTGCCCCGCCGCTAATAATAAATAAAAAGAGGCAAATGATATCTTAAATAATTTTACATATTTGCTAACGCTTGTTTTCTGCTGTGTGTTGGTTGCTAACTATAAATGTTACATAATCCGTTAATTTGTATAAATAAATTTTCGGCCTCCCCATATTCAATAGTTATTTATAGATATTATGTATATGAATGAATAGTTCATAATATCTTAAGTGGACTATTGTATACATACATACATATATGCAGTCGCGAAAACCTTATTAACTTCTAGAGTGTGAAGTATACAGATTTTGCCGTGATTGCTAGGATATTAAATGCATTTTTCAAATCTACTTGTTTCAGCACCCTAAACAAATAGAAAAGCTTTAGTCGAGATTCCTCAACTACAAGATCCCCTGAACTTTTCTAGGAACTGATATCTTAATAATTCATTGCTTTCTTCTGCTTACACAAGAAACACATCCACACATACATCATCAACAATGCTCATATTGAGATGTGTGGCACCGAGGCCAACATTATATGAGTGTGTGAGTGCGATCGTATATGAATTAGACGCACATTATTGTATTGAGCGACAAAGAATAAATAAATCTTGAGCCCGAGTATATGAAGGGCTTCGATGCGTCGCAGTTTGCAGAGAAAAAAAATAGAACAAGTAAGAACGTTGCAGTCGGGCGTGCGGAATACTCATTCACATCCCATCAACAATATAGTAAAGTTTCGCTCTAATACTGTAGAATATACAAGTTTTTCCGATTTGCCCCTACTGGGCGCAGACACCTCATTTTTGGTCAGTTCTTAGAACTTGATAACGGTACACTAACTGCAAAGTTTGAATGCTTACCCTCAAAAAATGTGAAAATTACAGGGTATTTTTGTATGCCACGCCCCTAAAGAGGCGTATAAATTATTTTTGGGTCATCGATAAAGGAAGTTACTTATAACTTAACTCTCTAAATTTGAAGCTTCTAGGTATTATACCTTAGGAGATATAAACTTTTGCGGTTTGCCACGCCCCCTGCGGGCGGACATATATCCGACAAAGCAAAATTTGAGGTCTCTGGCATCAATAGTGTCCAAAATATAGCAGAATTTAAAAAATCACTATATCATCAGGTCCGATTTGCCACGCCCCTAATGGGCGTAGACTTATAAATTGTCTTTTGACTTTACAGAATTAGCTGGCGTGCAAAATGTCAGCATTCTAGGTTTACAAGTATAGGAGATACAGTTTTAACAGATTTGCCACGCCGCCAATGGGCGGAGGTATATCTGCCATAGCTCGTGATCTTAAGTGGTCCGCGCGGACCTACATACCAAATTTCAGCTTTCTAGCTCTTCAACTAGCATGATTTCTGGTATATCGGAAAATGCATTTTCCGATTTGCCACGGCGGATCGGGAAAATGCAATTTTAACACTATAAATCGGAGATATACACGAGTGTGTGTTCCAAATTTCAAGTCTCTAGCTTCAATAGCGACGAAATAGATTGTGTTCATACGGACAGACGGACGGACAGCAAGACGGACATTGCACAAAACCAATATACGTATTCACTTTCGTGAATGAGTATAAAAATACGAAGGGCAATGGAATTGTGTGTGTGCAGACCAGATAGCCGACCGACGACAAATTTACCGTTACAATTTGACTAACTTATATTTAAATAGCTGACTAACAAGTGCATTTCCCAATACTTGTTATAAGTTTTTTTTACTTGCATGTACCTGTATATGTACATACATGAACGGGTGCTAGGGATCGAAAATCGTATCCCATTTTGCCCACTGAGCTTAATCAGCTACTACATTTCTTTAAAAATGCATTCTGACAGGCAAACCCACAATCATTGAAATGGAATCAGGTGCTTAAAGATAAGCGCGAGTTACCCACCAGTCACTATACCTCACACATATGTATATGTGTATGAGTTACTCGGAAAATGCACTTGTTAGTCAGCTATTTAAATATAAGCTATTTAAATATAACCCAAAATCGTTCACACCATTCTAAGTTGAGGGAGGCACACGCCAATGTTCATCTCCCATGCATACAAACAAAAACATACACACACGCACAGTCATACAAATGCTTCTACATGTGATATCCCATAAATGTGAGCAGCGCATTCCATGCGTACACACAATCAAATGTATATACATACATACATACATATGTATGTGAGCTTTTCACAAGAACGACCAAATGCAATGATGGGCTTCAAAATTGCTACAGGCAGCCCGAGCTTCACACACAGGCATACAAATGCTCATAGTACATGTAGCAAGGGACAGTGTGTGTGTGCATGCTCGACACGAAAATATTTTCATAATGCGCGCCAACGCTTTCAGAAGGGAAGAAACGGGAGTCTAACGCGATGAAATTTGAATTTTCGTGATTTCAATATTTGAGAGAGCAAAGAGCAGAGAGAGAGAGAGAGCATAATGGGTTCTTTTGTTCAATATTTTACCATCTCCGTCGAGCGCATGAAGCGAAATGATTGTGCTTTCGTATATCTTCGTAGCCCGAACCAAAATGTGAAGTGCCGAGCTAATACGAAGTGGTCTGAGAGATAACTCCCGAAAAAAGTGTGCAAAACGCTTTACACTACTTTACTGGTTAGTGATACAAGTTTATACTCAACATATAGCTTGTATTAAAGAAATTTATGAGTATGTAAATGATAGATAACTTGTAATGCAAATTACTTTATTCCGATAATTGACCAATCTCTTTTTGTTCACCTGTCTATGTTTCAGATAAACTCTATGTCTAATCATCTGAGTCGTATACTAGATCTTGTGTTCATTAATCATGATTCCATCATTAATGCCGTGGATCAACTCCTTTCTGCTTCCAAAATAAATATACCATAGCCAAGTCAAATTTCAAACTTTTAAATTCTAGTTGATAAGAGAATGTATGTATATACGTTGCAAACGTCAGTTTGACCGATATCTTAAACAATTTTACTCATTTGTAAACTTGAAGCGTACATCTTCTGGTTTGCCGTCCTCATTTGTCCTTGATGGTGAAACAACTTGCAATGACCAGGATCCCTCTGATCTATTTGCAGATTTTTGTCAATCAACTTATTCTTTTGCTGATCTTTACAGAAACTCATATCCATATTCACTTCCTGAATATGGGTCTATCGATTCTCCCAAGGTCACTGCAGCCTCTCGGGCTACAGCCATTGCGTCGTTGAAATATTCCAAGTAGAGTTGGGCACGGGCCGTGTTTTTATCGGGTAACCCTGGGCACCCGCGTTTACCCGTGGGTATGGGCTGAAAAATCGAGTTTCGAGTTGGGTGCGGGCGGGTGCGGGTTACGCCGCTCAACCCGTTTTACCCGAAAAAATCATAAATTGGAGACCGTCAAAAGCATGATGGTTGAAATTTATGATATGCAAAATGATTCAATTGAGGACGCGAGAATTGGGGTCGTTAATATAACATTAAAGTGCGTGTGCAGCTAGACGATTCTATGTTCTATGTTTCTAAAAATCTTTGTCTTTTGGGTTGGCGCTTATACTTTGCTCTGCAAGTCAGTTGCGTTGCGACAACGAGTGCGTGCGGTTTATGAAATAAAACAAACAGTGTCTTCTTATTATTGGCTGGTCTGGACAAATAATAAAGAATATTATATTTTTCAATAGGTTATGGGCGCAGACACATAATAACAATAAAATGATTGGATACCTGTTTGTTTTAATGAATAAAAAGTGATTAAAGTACATATGTATGAACATACAAATAAATTTTGTGTATCATATGTATTTATTTGAATTTGTACTGAAAATACAGTGGCGAGCACGGATGGAAACATGTTGGCCAAGTCGACTTTAAAACGCCTGTAAAAAAATAAAAATTTCATGAATATGTCTGAAATTTTGGAATTAGATTCATTTGATATATTTAAATAAGATGGTAAAATCATTTGTTTCGATTTTTGATACTAAATTTAAGTTTTTCAGATGGATACATAAAAAGAGTTATGTATCCACTTTTTCTCGTTTTAAACTTTTTTAAAATATTTAATATTTTCTCCAAAGATCTATAGCTTTAATCACACTAGCAATGCGCTTGAGCATACTCTCCACCATTTTTCCAAAAGAGGCATGCGAAATTTCGCTCAACTTCGGTTGGATCCGACACTAAAACCCCTTCATCCCAGTCGGTGGTGTATCTTACATTGAGAGCCTTTTATTAACCAATGTCCCTAAATTTTTAATGGGGTTCAGGTCTGTACTTTGAGTAGGCCACTTCATTATAAACATTTTTTGATAATCGAGTTAATTCTTGACGATTTTCGCTTTGTACTGGGGGTCATTGTCCTGCTGAAACACGACCTCTTCCTCGGGAGACACATTCATAATATTCAGACAGGACAAATAGCGCATAGCCGTGCTTCATATAAGAATGGCACCATTTCGTTTGAGCGCTTGCAGCACACTGATTTTGTCGTGCAATATTTTCACTGCTTGAGCCTCAAGAGACTGAGCCGAGCAAATACGAAGTTGCGTAGTCTCCTCAGCGCATTTTTTCGTCGTTGAAAAAATTTGTTCTAGATGTCTAGTCTATGTGTTCTCTGGTTAGTGGTAATGCTGAGGCCAGAGCATGCCAAATGGTGGCCCAAATACAGAGTGCCTGCAATAACAGCATGTTACGCCGCAAGCAGTTCACGCGACAACAAGAGCCTACGTATTGGTGGAATGCACAAATAGGTGACATTCGACGCAAATGCATCCAGGCGAGAAGAAGCTATCAACGGGCTCGGGGTAGGTCTACGTTTTTCGAAAAACAATTAGCTTACCAGGCAGCTAGATGACAGTTGAAGAAGGCCATTCGGGCAAGCAAAAGATAAT